TAAGAAAAATAAAATATCAAAAATAATTAAAACTTAATGATGCGGGAGGAAAAAAGTCTGTTCACAAAGGCAATTAAGAGGAGCGTTTGGGTTTTGTGTATAAAAAAAATTTATATAAAAAAATTGATTTAAACTGACAGATAATTCCGGCCATTTAAGGCGTGGCTGATATGGGAACAAAGAAAACATCAATCAAATATTGAACTTACAAAATTATAAGAAAAATAAAATATCAATGGGAGGAAAACAGTCTGTCTACAAAGGCAATTAAGGCCAATTAAGGGCAATTATCTCTATATTGAAACAATAGTGTTTTTGTTAAACTAAATTATTAATTTAATTAACAATTGTTTTAAACTTTCTAATTATCTTAATAGCTTCAGTATCACGCTTTATAAATTTAAGCTATTAAAACAAATACAAATTATTATAAAAATAAATATGATTAAAATCGCATTTTTCAGATGAATCTGGTTCATCTGGATGTATCTGGAGCATTTGGGTTTGCGTATAAAAAATAAATATAAAAAAATTGATTTGACCTGACAGATAATTCCAGTCATTTAAGGAGTGGATCCTGCTTCGGAGAGGTGTGCCAAGGCTTCCGACTTTACACTGGAGCAGTTTGAAGTAGAGGGGCTGCTACTTGACTGCCTTCTTCTCTTTTCCACCTCGTGCTTCCTGCTCTTGCTTGCGTGCTTTGGTCTTTTACGTCTTTTCGGGACACACAAACGGATGAAAACAGGCATTTAGCAGCCATCCTTGAAAGAGGACGTCCAAAAGGACATCCAATTGCAACCGTAAAAATAAACATTGACTATTACGAATCATATCTGATGATTCTGATGATTGTATAATTTATGAACAAAGTTAGTCATTCATAGGGTAAAGTGAACAGATAAACTTACTTTGTTCCCTGTTCTTCTGCACTGCTGAATTGAGTAAACCACTGGCCAATGGATTTTGAAATTTGACTCTGGTGGCCAGTTTCGGCGGGGTACAGGAGGACAAGGCACTCTGAAAAAGAAGAACAAAACAATGACAATTAATGTGCGTCACAAAATTTTATTTTGGTAGAGGCAGCTGAAAGTTTACAAGAAGTTTTAAGATTTACCTGAATGCAAAGGCATTTACCAAGATTTTTATAGGACATACAGGGAGAGTTTCAGGAGATATTCCTCCCATAATTGACATGGAAACTTGGCAATTGGATACATCGCATAATTTATCCTAAATGGGTGAGAGTCGCGATGATTAGGATACAATTCTGTGACCCGCACAATTTACTCAATTATTTAGGTCCTATTACACACATCAGCAGATACAATGAAAGTCTTCTGCTCTCATTATTTCATTGAAGTTCCGTTCATTGAGGTTCAGTTATTTCCTTATTTCAACAAACTGTTTACAGAATCATTGCATTATTACTCATCTTAAACCTTTACGTACACACTTGCAAATAAAGAAGAAGAAAAAAATTAGGGAATACTCAGTTGTATTCCTGAGAGCAGAACATTTGGGGGGGGGGGGAAATCATTTTTACAGGCTGAATTGCCATTGTGCTTCAATGTTTATAGATAGTTACTGAGCAATTAAGAGGCAATTGAATTAACTGAGGATTTGGTACTTTTTGTTGACTTACCAATCAGAACAAGTTTGAGCCCATGCTTGAAAAAGCTCAACTTGTCGTCGGCTACCCCCGTCCACGTAAATTTGCTGACTACATTTTTGCTCATCATTTGATACCGAAGGCTTCTTGCCGTGCTTGACATGGTAACCGCTTTTTTGACATTAGTGACTAGAATCGTTGCCTGAGAACCAGAACAGAAAAATGTCATTCAAATAGGGACAGCAGAAATGAATGTATGCATGTGCGTACGTTGCAACATCATACAATTTTGCACTCGATGTGTGCTGGTTTAAGGTGGCTGAAAGCTTTTAAAAGTTTGTGCTCGCCATTAATAGCAATTTTACGCTATCTCTGCGCGTGATAGCAAATGATAGTTTTCAGTCTTACCTGAAGAAGGAGATGATGCCATTTTCTTCCTCCAACAGGACTTGAGCAGATGGTTTTTTGAAAGTCCGACTCCCACACAACACACAAACTGGCATGCTCACTTCTACATTACAAACATAACAAAACACTTCACATACCGATACCGTAAGGAAAAAAAAAACGACTAAAATTGACACACAACGCAATACATTTGAACAATCGCTCAACGCTCGCAGCCACGGACTAGCAGTCTTTTAAAGAGAAGATTAAGGTAATAGCTCCAGTACCCGGAATGCTAAGGACATTTTTCAACTTTGAAGACATGCCAAAATCAATCATATTAACGAAAAAATTTCATTTTGGGCTCAATGGAAAGATGCTCTTTTCAGCTTTCAAGAGAAAGAGAGCTCTGTCAGACAATTTTGCACGACCGCAAACCAATTTCGGATTTTAGCCTCTGTGACGCTAGCTCTGGACAGCGCCAGATTCTGAGGCGTTCTTTCACTAATTTCAGGATGTCTTTGTGAAAAAGCCTTATACCACTTTCTTCCAGGTTTATTGTCAGTAAATGGTGTTGATAGACCCAGCTCTGAAACTAGACGAGCAACGCTGAGGAGAACTTGCTCTTTTGTGACCGGGAAACCGGCAGACCCACTTCTAAAAATCCATTTCGCAAGAATTGCTTCATGCTTGTCTGACAGAATGTAACTGGGGCCTTTTTTAGTGGTAATTGGGGATATACCTGACAATTTGTCATATAAGGTGGACTTTGGAATGTTATATTTGACACATGCTCGTAAGGTTGTGAGGCGCTTGGTTTTAACATCTTTAATTGCTTGGAGAAGGTTTTGCAAGGGATTTTTCCTTCTTCACCAAACTGGGGTGGACCATTTTAGCAAATTATTTTTACGAAAAACTGAGCGAATTTCCGGGTACTAGTGTTGTATTGAGGATGCGCGCACTGCATCTTGATCGAATCCATCGATGTTAACCTCAGTACGAAGTTTCTTACGCTTCTCACCTGGTGTAATGAAAGTTGTCGCCAGACCTGATTCATCGTTCATCCGTTTCTTCCTCATCACCCTGCAAACAGATGTTTGAGACACTCCTGTTGCCTCTGATGCACGCTGCACACACGTTATCTTCATTTATAACACCAAATTTTCGACTACTAGTGCAACTATTCGACTGAAAATATGGAGTTGTACAGACTAATGTTCAAACTTCACTTAGTACATACCAGAGGGCTTCCAGCAAAGTGTCGTGAATCATGAATTAATTTGTTAAAGTCTTAAATAGCTACTAAAATATTTAGATTACTGGAGCACTAGCGTAGCACGTCCGACCGTGACGTTGCCGGATCAAAAAAAAAAAAAAAAAAAAAAAAAAAAAAAAAAAACCATCACATCCTTATTTTTATACATCTCCATGAATTGGAAGAAAGATTTCTGAAAAAAAGAAGAAAAGGAAGAGAACAAATTCATTAAAAAAGTAAAAAACGATTATCTTAACGCTATGACAATTAGTAGACAGAACATTAACTCTAGATTTGGATATTTCCTGAGAAATTCTAGATCAATCTCACGTGACACACGAAAAAAAGTCCTTGAAAGACTTCAAATGCCTGTAATTTTGTAAGTTGCACCATGTTACACATAGTCCTTTCTTCTAAACCTTTTCTGGCCATTCCTCTTGCATGCAAAGGATGATACAAGTGTCTCGGGCTACACCTCTGTTACTTTCAAACGCACATTTATTGAAGACATTTTTAACGCAAAAACACCAAACACACCTTGAACATCACGAGGAATATGATGAAACAACTTTCCGTCATTGTATCGGCAGGATAACCGCTATTCATGCTTGTTCGTGTGCTCACACCGCAAAAAGAGTGACACTAGCGAGAACCTGCCCAAGTGTACCTCTTTGTTAATATGAGAAAAAGTAAGTAAGTAAGTAATGATACTTACGGATGCAGAGGCTTCCCAATCATTAATTATTGGCACGTTCCTGTGTTTGTACCTACCCACTCCAAGTCATCTTACGCATGTCTAATTGGTTTTTTACTTGAACATAAATTTCGGTGCAATCAATAATAATCCTACAATTATTATAACTATCGAAAGCGCTTGGCAAAGTTGCTCGATTTTTCATGATACTTGCAATTTGTGTCATCATTCCTTCAAATATAATCTTGTGAATCACATCGACCCAGGTTATAAAAATATTTGTGATTGTTGCCTCACTGCAGTTGAATCTCTCTGCTAAATCGACAAGCCCCAAATTGAGACGTAGCTTCATGAGTGTTAAAAAAAAATTGGTCATCTCTTGTAATTTTACAAAAGGTCCACTTTCGGTAATAAGTGACAGGAATATCTCAAAATATCTAGGAACATTTTTAGTAGATCAAAGTTAGCAAATCCGGTATAATAAGATACTTTGGTATCGTTTTTCATTATCTTTTTTAAGCTGAACTGAAATTCCATTTTTGTCAGGCCAATGGTGACTAGCTCAAGTTTTTGCTTAAGAAAATAAATTTCTGCTTCAATTACAACACTTTCATTTAAGTTTTGGTGCTTTGATCCTGTTTCGTAATAGCTCCTACGATGGGGGACGAAAAGTTGACAAAATCGTTCGTGGCTTGAGTTGTTGCATCTCGTTCTACATTAGTTGCAGTAAAATATTTACCTGCATTCTTATTTTAATAAGTACAATAGACTTAAATTATTTTGTAGACAAATTGAACGATTATCACATTTGGAACTCCTATGAAGAAGTATTAGTTCTTTGACTTCATCCCTGCGGGAAAGAGAGGATCTATATCATATGACTACACAACTACAGCCTAGGCCCTAATTGAAATTACTTAAAAACTCCTGGAGGAACATAGCTCAAACTTGTATTTAATGTACATTCCGAAGTTTTTTACGATTGAAATATTTGTACAGCAATTTTTTAATCTTTTGTACGACTTCATTATTCGAGACTAGGTTTTTATTTTCAGATCTGCTTAAAGGATTTAAATGTAGCTGGGAACAATTTAATTGTGCTCACGGATTTCGTCGGGCTAAACAAGCTGGAAAAATTGGATGCAACCGACAATAAACTGGAAAATTTAAGTCAAATCCGTGACGATCTTGCCGAACTGTCTCGGCTGAGATCACTTGACTTGCGAGGGAATCCAATCACTAAGGAAATTCGCTACAGGGAGAAAATCGTGGCCGTTTTACAATGCGTAGGTAAGTCATTGATACTTCCAGAATGTCCGCTCCCCTCTCATATTACGACGTAAATAATGATGACAAGAGTAAAATCTGGAGTAAAATCTTGGAGGTTATTTTCATCAGAAGTATATATTTTTCGTGACATTTTTCCATTTTGAATAAGATCTCTTTTGTTTTTTATTTTTATGCGCAGATAATTTGGATGGAAAGACCGTGACTGATATGAACAGAATATTCATTCAGAATCTCGAAAAATGCAAAAAGGCAGAGAAAAAACCAGCCATAGAGTTCAGCAAGGATATTAAAAGTAAGCACTTTGCATCTTACAGGGAAACTATGGGAGTTAAACTTCAATCACATTTAATTGAATACCCTCAATAGTTTATCAATGCTAGTAATGTTTACATCATCACAAATCGATAAACGGTTGTAATATCTTAGAGATGGGTGCAATCAATTTACCTTCCTCTTATTTTGTATATTGAGAGGACTGACTTCATTTATGAATACCTTCATATGAATCAAGGCGTTCGCTTTAAACCCACCAATTGCGTACTATGAAAGTATGTAAAGGCAGTAACAACGATGACTTTACCGGGCCAAGCATAATGGAGGATGCAGTGCATGAGTAGTTTTAAAGGCATTTTCCATGATTTTGAGCAAAAGTGATCGAATTTAGAAACAAGCACGTTATCCTGAAGGCTTAGAGGAAGTAAAAATTACCATTCCTAATTTTTTTTGCAAGAAAGTTTCCCTCAGGTTCATGAATTGCCTCAGCTAAATTATCAATCCATCAGCTAAATTATCATATTTAACAATTTTTCATTTACTCTGCAACAGGTCTAGCAGAACATCTTCCGCCAGGTATTAGAAATTCAATTACCGAACCAGAGGCCAAGAAAGGAATAGCCTCGAGGATCAATGTTATGCTTCCAAACACGCCACCAGGTGAGACGCGATATATGCATTTGCGAAATCAGTGATCTATCATTGATCGTCGCATCTATGTTAAATAAGTTTATACGTTGGCCGTGAACCGATCGACACTAATTCGACCGACTAATTATTACAAAAACCCGTGTCGATTCGATCGATTCACGGATATTGTCGATCGACTCACGGGTTAGTCGATTGAATCGATATCTATCGGGTCACGACCGGTTCACATTTTTATTTTTCGATGGATTCACGTCTCTCGAATCGACATCATAGTATTTTCAATTATCTTTTGATTGAATTGATGTCGATCGATTCACGTTTTTACTTTTTGATAAATTCATGTTGATCGAAATCATACCCTCCTCTTCCTTGAATTCATATCCTTCGCTTCGAAAGGGTTCATTGATCAAATGAAATTCATCAGGAGCCGCAATTTCCGGTTTCGCTCAGACACAACGTACGTACCGTTAGTTTCTTTATGCTCACAATTGTTTTTACAGAAGAGCCAGAAAGTTCAGTTCCGAATAGCAAAATGTAGTCCAAATGATCACGCCATTAGATTGCTGAGCAACGAGAGAACCTACGCATCAAAGTCGCTTCACTTGCATGCTTTCATTTAAAATTATGTACAAATTCTTTAATATTTTATTAATTGAGATGACAATAATTTCAAGAAACTTTACAAAAACTTCAAAATCAGTAGTTCAAAACCGCTGACGCCGCAAGTTTGAATAATCGCATCAAACAGTAGTGCGGCCGGTGCGCACGGCACGTAACACATATAGCGCCTTACAAGACCGCAGGATACTCCATGCATTGCACATTCAGCACGGTCCGCGCGACGCAGAGCATAGCGCCTTACAAGTCTGCAGGATACTACATGCATTGCGCGTATATCACGGTGCGCTGTCAAGTCGTCGAAAAGTCGTCTTTTCTTGGTGTGGAACCTACCCCAGAGCAGAGAGCAGTTTGTGGCATTTGCATCTTGCAAAAAATGCACCCCACCAACGATAAGTTCTGGAATAATAGAGGCTGCCATATGTATTCTAAATAAAACAACGAAGACACAAAGGCCTTTTGCATCCGTCGTTTCATCAGTTTCAATGAAAATTTTCTCCTCTTTAATCTTTTTATGGAAAAAAAATATAGTTTTTGTTCCGCGTATAATTGATGAACCATATCGGATCCTTGAAGTCATCCATAAATGTTTTTCTCGCTCTCGCGGCCCTAATGAAATTGGAGGTATCTGGATCTGAATCCGTCCCAATTATGCTGAATTAGATGAAGCTTACAAAGCATCTTCTCTGTCTTCCTTATTATTTAAACAATTCTAATTGAATAGTGTGTTATGATGATCGTGATAATTGCTAGATAACTTATTTAGGACTTTAAGAGACACTTATTCATAAATTAATCAAAATAGAGACACATAATTCATAAATTCATAATCATAATTGAATCAGTTGAAATGTTTTGATGTTTGTCTAGAATTAAAAATAGTTCAATTCATGGTGTACCCCAAAATTAATACAATCTTAATTGAGTTTGGTCCTTTGATATTATGAATCTAATACTCTAATAGTATTTCTACATGGAATTTATATATTTATCCGAACACGTCCGCAAAAAATTTCCAGCATCGGGACATTTGATAGGGCCTCGGGACGGGAAAAACGAAAACCAAGTTTGCATAAGCTTTCAGTCTCCTCAGGAGAGAGACTACTTTCCACAATTTGTAGCACCATGTCGTCCCACAAAAAAATTGTCATTTTTCAATCTGACGTCCAAACTTGTTGCGTGACTAAGTATTCGCGTGAGTGACGCACATGTTTTTTGCAATGGCCGGGAACGGGAATGGCCTTAAAAAGCGAGAACCATGATTTGCGCAGACAGGGAAGAACTATAGGAGTTGTATTTTTGATGATGCTCGTCACATCGTGTTTATTGCGTTTATAGACTTAAACATTTCCGCAAATTCATATTTGATATGAACCAGAGTGTCTTAAGTAATTTATTTAGGAAACTGGAGATCTTATCCAACTCAACAAGCTCTGAGCACCATCTGAGGCTATTATCCCAGAAAAGAATGTACAGAGTTTAATGCATTATCTTTTCCGCTCGATGACAAAGTCTGCAATCTTTGATAAAACTTCACGCTGAGTTTATGTGACCTTTATTCAGTCAAAATCTTCAACGATCACAAGAATGCCATCACAAAGTGAAAAACTTTTATTTTTGCCTGGAACCCGAAAGAATTACTATCATGTTATACAAGCTTTTTTTTAATAAAGTAAAAAAAAAGAGAGACAGAGCATCTTCCCTTTGTAAAACAGTTTACGTTTATTCAGAAGGATAATAGCTCTTTGTGTTGATATAAGGGACTGCATTCCTTCGAAGTTATCAAACTGAATTACTCATCTGCATCAAAGCAGATCGTTACTGTATAAGACCACTTGAAACTGGCGGCTTATGTCGTCGCTTCTCTGACGTAATGGCGTATCTCTATTTTCACGTGAACCATAGAGTTGAACGGAGAAGAAGTTTCACGTAAAAATCGAGACACGCCCTTACGTCAGAGGAGCGACGACTGAACACAAAAAATACTCAAACCCATGTCCTTTTTTGCTAAATCCAGTAATTTATTTTTTTTTTTCAGTTCAAATGGACATGATGCCTGGTTTCCCGAAGAGGAAAATGCTGAAGAAACAGTCCAGCAGCTCGCAACAGAAAGACAGCCTTTCGAAAGTGTCGAGCAAAAGTAATATGAGCAAGTCATCAGAAGATGAGAACAGGATTGATTACGTCACTAAAGCTCCCTCGGAATGAAAACACAATAATTACTGAATATTGTGGTGTCGAGAATACTCTAAAAGTGATAGACTGTGATGATGGGGGTGGAAATGTTTAAATAGTACTCTACGTAACGAGTGCAGGTTCAATAAGTTTACAGGTGAATTATCAGAACCTCGTGCATTTCTAAGCTTTTTTTATAAATTGGACTTTCATTCAATACTTATATTAGAATTGTTAGGTTTGGAATATTTGGATTTTTCCATAGTGCGTACTTTTAAAAATTAGGTTAGTGGTGATTTGCCCTACATATATTTTAAAAATTAATAGATGGTTTTACATGTTTAAATTTTTTGTGCATGTTTTCTTCTCAAGAATGATTCGGTTTAATTAATTAGTCAGCAAAGTACAGTCGTAATCTTTCATAATAGAGTCGGATATTGCAGGAAAAAAGTAAGAACATAGTAATTGTCAAACAGGTGAAAATGAGACAGATTCCCTGTTCCTCTACACGGTTAGAGGTTTAGACTCAGCATCTGCGGGGTAAATACCGCCTTCAAATGAAGTGAATACAATTTTTCCTACGTTCCCACGCTCAGCTACGTGACGTGCGGTGCACACTCTTAATATGAAGGCGTTTTTTACCTCGAGCCATAACTGAATTCTTGAGCGGTCCTGTTACTGCTTCTGAGACCAACAGTAAACCTACATGGAAACGAGAAAGAATTTGACGTTTATTGCGGATTTACTAACGAACGTACAAACACTTCAAGGTTGAAAGTTACAGAGATTCTGCTAACCGTAAAGACTGACAACAAATCAGGCTACTTTGTGTAAGAAATACACAGAAAAAAGCTTTATATCCCAATATTTTTCAAGTTTGAAAGATGAAAGGGTTCTAAGGAAAATATGGGCTTCAAATGATGCGCATCGAATCTAAAGCGAATTTTACAGCTTTTGAATACATGAGCTTCACAAATTATGCTTCAACCGGAAATTGGCTTATATTAGAAATCAAGTTCATTCCGCAAGAAAGTCGATACATTTGATACTCTTAGGTGTGTGGTCTAGGATAAAAGTTTTACGCAAAATCCAGATATAATCATTTGTTTTTTTCCAAAAATGTATATCTGGTTTGCACGAGTCTAGTAGTTTTATCGCGAAGAATGTAAGCTGCACAATCCCAGCAACATCGGAATGCTCTTGGTTCCATTTGCGAAATGCCATCCAATTGCGAATGACACAGTCACTGTCGAAGTATTTGCATTTTCTTCGAAATTAATTACATTTCCTCGCAATGGCTTGGCTAAAATGTGTAACGTTGTTTTATTGTTATATCCATACTTACATTAAAACGCCCCCACTTTCAGAATAGTTACAAGTTATAAGTCCGATGCATTGGGAACGACTGTCATTGCCGAAAGTCAGATGCGAGCCTGAAAATTTACAACTTTGACCAAAATCACGTTTCGATAACGTCTCCACACCGACACCTTTCCTGGTATCAACGAATGACATTTTAATTAAAACGCCCAATTGTGAGGACCACGTCCGGGCACGGGCCTCTGGACCTGGGGAGGGGGAGGGAGGGGGGTCGTTAGAAATCCAAATCAGTGAATCTCCCGTTAATGAGCAGGACCTCAGCGAGAGATGTTTTACGAACTTCCCGGGGGCCGGGAACCGGGCGAAATACCCGTAAAAACCCCGATAACGTCGTCAACCTGGACATACACTTGTTTTCGGTGTTGGGTTACAGTTCGTAAACAATGATTTACCACCTCTATTACCACCCAATTTCCATGTCCGCGTTGCAAAGTCCTCTTGAATTCTCACGATTTGTAGGATATGGTTGATCTGCTTGCTGAAAGTGAACGCACCGGATACCCTGCTGGAAACGGTATTGGTGGTACCATGTTGAGATCTTGTTGTTACCAACCTGGTCCAGTTTGGATCATGGAGTCTCACAATAACAGCGGTGAGGCTCAGTATAGTTTGGTTTCCTTTAAAAATTTACTTCCATATCCGGTTTAAAATGCAGGTGTGAGCACTGCGAAAAGCCCCAGGTTTTCATTTTATCTTTTCTTTTGCGGCCTTAGTTCCATTTTAAGTTAATTTTCTATTAAATAAAACGTCATGAATTCGTCACTATTTTTATTTTACTCTAAATTCGCAGCACCTGATGTCATCCTTATTGCCTTTGAATAAATTTAGGTGCAGGCTTGAAATTTTGTGAGAGTTCCTTAGTCAAAGGGAACGACTTTTAGAGCCCCCAAAATGTTTATGGGATCATTCAGAAAAAGAGCAAGAACCTTGAGGATTGTAGGAGTGGTGCAGGAATTTTGGATCGCCCTGTAGAAACATTTCCCTTCGTGTAGGCCCGTATCTTTTTCCGCAAGGTCAGTCACCGAATCAACTTGCAGCAGGCTTTTTGTTGAAATTTACAGACAAAACGATAGATAAAGAAAAAAATGGAAATTGGAGTGATCCTATCGGTAGCGGGAGGTTAAATTGGACCAAGGAGCTAACTAATAGACTACTTAACGGCAACCCACGAGAGAGCCTATACTTATTCCATCGTTTTCCTCCTTAGTCTATAACAACCACTCGTTTCAACCGATAGAATCGCTCCATTTTTCCGTCGTCTTCTTTGACTATTGTTCTGTCCATCAATTTCAAAAATCAACCTGTGGTGCTCTTAAGAGTTGAAAGGCTTGGAGGACAAGGCGTATAAGTGCAATTTTCCAAAAAATCAATGAGTTATCAATGATTCTAACTTAATCTAGGTTTGAAATAAATACTGTGAAAAATTCGCCGGTAATGTCCCATTGTTCAGCATCAAAATATAAATATGAACTTTCCGTCTCCATGAGGCTGCACTGGAAAAAAAAAACACATTGGATCTAGAGTCCAGACGCTTAAAAACATCGACAAGAAAAAATACTCTTGATTCAATCGGATTTTTGCTTACATCAAGAACCAAGCCTCTTAATTGGAGCGGATTTCCTTTTGATTTAAGCAAAAATCTGATTGAATCAAGAGTATTTTTTCTTGTCAATGTTTTCAAGAGTCTGGATTCTAGATTCAATGTGTTTTTTTCCCCAGTGCGATACAACATAAAACTTCATATAATTTAGAAACTTTGAACACGTTTATCTCAAAATTTCAGACTCTGCATGTATTCGGCTCGTCCTTCGAGCCCCTCAGTTGGATTTTTACCATCTAATGGTCCACCCGGCAACGTCAACGTTGAAAACTCCATCGACACGGACGAATAAAGGCGAGAGTCCTCCACTTGACCGAGCCTCAATAAAATCCACGCGAGGGGATGCAGGAAGGGGCGGGGATGACCGGTTAATTAAAAGTGTTAAAATAGTGTCGGTTTTACACTCGTTTGCATATTCCGGGCCGAGGAATTTCTCCGGGGAAGGGGCGAGGGTGGCACCGCGCGAGTAATACGAAATTAAATGGCTAGTTAAGACGTATCACTTGTCCGAGTGATGTAAAGATAACGCCAGCGCTATCTGTGATGGGTATCGGCAGACTCCGCACCCCGGCCGGGCCCTATTTCTTTCAGTTTCGTCGCCGTAACATCTTTTTTACGGTGTACCCGCGACCGAAAACACGGTTTTCAAGCGAGGTAGCTCCTGTCCTTCGTTGCCGCCTCGTGCCGATGAAATTAGCAGATATAATTCGATCGTGGGATAAAACAGAAAATACTCAATAGTTATTTCACAAAATAGATTAAAATGAAAAAAGGAAGGCTAAAAAATCAGTAGCTCAAATAGATGAATTTCAATTTCTTTTGGACCGTAATTTATATTTGTGAGATATCTGTATCGCTTGAAAAATGGAAAAGGAAATACATTCCGTTTCAATTCAATTTTCAGGTATGCTTAAGACCTATTTTAACCAATCAATAAAATCATGGTGTACATTCTTCTTCTCGCTTTGCTGTTTTATTTTTAGTGCAAAATTAGTGTTAGGTTTCTTTTATCGACATGGTTATATCGGTGGCATGGCGTGCTATATGCGATATATCGATTGATCTGCCGTTTAAACCTGTTGAAAAGGATCGATTTACAGGGTGTTTGCAAGGATTACCTTAATAATCGATTCTTTTTAATAGCTTCAAATGGGGAATTATCGATTATCGATCATTCACGCCTCGCCACGTGTATAATAACTATATTTCAGTCACAAGCATCAGGAACGAAATGTAAACTTCCATAAGCTGTGAATAACCCACCGAGTTAAAAATCCAAGCCCTGAAAAATCTAAAACGGCAACCTCGCAGTAAGCCACCTTTGATATGCATACCCTCAGTCGAGTATTTATAGATGTATTATTTAATGAATATCCAGTGCGCGGGAAGTCTTTGCTTTCAGGGCTGGCATTTTACCCGCCGTCTAACGCGGCAAGTTCGGATTCGATATATTTTCACGGTGTCTTACGGAGGTCGGCGATCGATTTCTCGACTCGACGCACGAGATCGATATGGGGTCCAATTTATCGGCGCTGAATTGCTGAGTGGAATGAATAAAACACGAGAGCCACGGCTACTAGATTAGCGCGGGCACTCGGTAACCTGCCGAGTGTCACCTGTTACGTGTTCGGCAAGGATATGACTGGACTCGCGCACGGTCAATTTGAGGTGGTTTTGCGGTTTTTCAACCAATGGTCGATCGGTGATTCGCTGTATTGCAGGGATAATTAAAGGAACTACTGGCGGATTTTGTCGGTCACAAGGCAGATGATTACTTCACCTTAAGAATTGGACTCCGAAGAGCTGAGGATTAAATGCAGGGATACGGTCATTTTCTCATTAGCACCTAAGTTAGCTCAAGCGAAGCTAGTATAATTGGACTACATTTTGCAATTTGGAACTATAAATTCTAGCCTGGTTTAAAAACAACGTATATGCCATTAGTTTCCTTATGCACACAAGTGTTTTTCCAGAAGAGCCAGGATTTGTAGTTCCAAATTGCAAAATGCAGTCCAATTGATACGAATTATGGCGAAGGAATGTTTAAGAAAGGATTCTACGCAAAGGAAGTTCAACAGTTCCAATAAATGCCGCGTATAATTTATTGAGAGACCATTTTCGGTCTAGAGTGAGGAAATCCTCTAAAATTGGCGGATATTATACCCGTTTAGAATAGAAAATTCATTTCTAATAAGTGCTGTTTTTGCTTTAAATAACTTGCTCATCCGCGAGTAAGGTGAAAAAAAGTTTAATCACCTTAATGAATGAGGCTTCATTTATACACGACTTGGATTGCATTTTGCAATGAGGTACTATGTACTATCTCTGACTCTTCCATAAAAGCACCTTTCTGCATACGGAAAGCA